AGGCCATCCACTCACCTCGGCCTCCCAAAGCGCGGGATTACAGGCTGAGCCACTGAGCCCGGCTTCCTAGTGACTCTTAATCTGATCTAGAAGAAGCTTGATAAATAGTGGTGGTTGTTATTATTACTGGGGACACCATGACATTTCAGCAGTACTTCAGGAGCATTCTTGGGTAGAGTGAAGCTCCCAGGAGAGAGGACTGGGGCCTCCAGGACAGAGGAGATGTCAGGCAGTCTTGGGTGGCTCCCCCCCACCCCTTGTGTCCTTTCTCATCTGCCAGCCCACTCCGCCTTTGCAGGGGCATCCTGTGGAGCTGTCCTGAGCGCTGTGCTGCTGTCTGTGGCTGGCGACAGAGTAGGTGGTGTGCTGGGAGTAAGAGTGGGAGGACTGAGGTGGGCCAAGGCGGGCGGAGATGGCTACCACCTGACACCCACCATCTGCTTTTTCAGTGTTCTGGGTCCTGGTGCTCCTGGCTGGTCTGGTGGTCCTCCTCTTGTTAGGGACCACCCTGACATACACGTACTGCCGTCACCAGCCTCACAAGCCCATGGTCCCTGGTAAGTACACACATCCCCAGAAGCCTGGGGCCAGGATGGGTAGCCCAGAGTCCACTCAACCCTGATACAGAAGGGGAAACTGAGGTAGGGAGTATGAGATGCAGAGGATCCCAAAAGCAGCTGGACCAGCACCCAGGCCCAGGAGCCTTGCCTGGTTGCTGACCACAACTTCTTTGTGTCTGTCAGCAGATGAAGCTGGGATGGAGATCCTGACCCCACCACCGGTAAGAATCCCAGTGTGTGCTTCTGAGTTGCCTTTGGGATCCAAGAGCTCGGGCCTTATATAACTTGTGATCCCCAGTGCACAGGGTGGACCTCATGGACAAAAATGCCAAGAACTGAGTTACCTGTGGGTGGGACTAGCACAGGGCCTGCCCTCAGGGGGCTCTACTGAGGTTCAGATGAGTGCACAGGAGCTAAGAGTTCAATGGGATGAGTGCCCCGTGGGGATGGGAGAACAAGAGGAAGTCCGCAGGGACACGATATTCCAGGCAGAGCAAGACCTCTTCTGCTGGGCCACAGTGAGAAAGTAGGGCCGACTAGGGGAGGAGACACCGCGAGTGTCTGCTGACTGAGCTTGGGACTGTCTACTCCTGGCCAGAGGCTGCAGCAAAGAGCTGGGTAAGCAGGCTGACCTGGGTCTCTCTTGGCTTCCAGGCCACCTACCTGTCCCCATTGGACAGCACCCACGCCCTTCTAGTATCCCCTGATAGCAGGGAGAAGGCCTGCACCGTCCAACTGGTGGGCAACAGCTGGACCCCTGGCTCCCCCCAGACCCAGGAGGCACCCTGCCCGCAGGTGGCATGGTCCTGGGACCTGCTGCCCAACAGAGCTCTTGGTAAGGAACCTCAGTGGCCTTAGGCCTTGACCCCGTTCTCCTAAGTCCGAGGTGGGAAGTTGCGGTTTCCTTAACTGACCGGGTCAGCCCTCGCCCCCGTGACCAGCCGAGTCCAGCGGGCTTCCTGCCTGGGGCACCCACGCCCTTGGCCCCGCCTCCTGACCACGGCCCGCGTTCCCCATTGGCTCTCTCTGGCCCCGCCCCCAGGCCCTCCTCCCGCGCCGGAGCTCTTGCCAGCCCCCCCCGCGGGCTCGCCGGCCGCAATGCTCCAGCCCGGCCCGCAGCTCTACGACGTGATGGACGCCGTCCCCGCGCGTCGCTGGAAGGAGTTCGTGCGCACGCTGGGACTGCGCGAGGCGGAGATCGAGGCCGTGGAGGTGGAGATTGGCCGCTTCCGCGACCAGCAGTACGAGATGCTCAAGCGGTGGCGCCAGCAGCAGCCCGCGGGCCTTGGCGCCGTCTACGCGGCGCTGGAGCGCATGGGGCTGTATGGCTGCGCCGAGGACCTGCGCAGCCGCCTGCAGCGCGGCCCGTGACGCGGGGCCCACCTGCCACCTCGGTGGCCCTTGCAGAAGCCCTAAGTACAGTTACTTATGCGAGTAGACATTTTATGTCACTTATTAAGCTCCCGGCCCGGCCCTGCGTAGCAGCGCCAGCTGGTCTCGTCCCTGCTCAGCCCCTGGAGCTCGGGTTAAGGCGAAGATGGACGGATATGGGGGGAGGGGCTGGTCAAGAGATCGCTCAGCTGTTTCTCGCTGAGTTTGGGTATTAAATCTATGGAAAAAGGCTGGTTCTTGGTATTTCCGTGGGGCTGGGGGTGTGAGGTGGCCCGGGCTTGCGATCCTGGGAGCACGGACGGGGCCAGGAATCTTGCCACGCTGGAGCCGGTGGCCCGTAGCGAAGACCAGGGTGGCCCTGGCTCCCAAGCCTGTACCCTCCCCCCCCTCATCCGCCGTGGCCTAGTTACCCCAAGAGGAGCGAGTCGCGGCGGCGGCAAGTGAGCGGACTGGAGTCCCAGGCGGCTGAGAGAGCTTTAATGGGGGTGCGAGGTGGCGGGGAGGGGGGCGCAGCTGTGGGAGACAGGGTCGGAGCGCTTCGTCCCCCACACGTTGCGCGAGGGCAGTGGCAGGGGATGCGGGGAGCGAGGGGGGCCTGGCGTGGGACGGGGCGCAGACTTCTCTCCTTCCCGGGAGGGAGGTGGGGGCGGAGGTGGCGCCCCGCGAGCTGCAACTCTGTCCCGACGGGCAGTTTTCGTCGTTTCTGGTAAACAAGTGACTGAGAGGAAACCCTCGGCGGGGATGAGAAGTGCAGCCCGCGCTGGGCCGGCGCAGATCTGGGTCGGGGAGGGAGGAAAACCCCTTCCCCGAGCTCGGGGCCTGCCTCCGCCCAGGATGCGCCAGCGACGCCCGTTCCGGGGTGCGGGGGAGGGGGCTGCAGCCGGGCGCGCGCCCCGCGGGAAAACAGAGTCACTACCCACGGGGGGCCGGGGACAGCTCTGCACACTTTGACATTCAACGAACATGCAAATATATGTAAGTCAGCATGCAAATAAGCAGTTTTTTTTTTTAACGTCAGCAGCTTGGGCACTTTTTCTGGGCGGTTGCGGTGGCGTGCGCGCGCCAGCGTCGCGGGGGCTGGGATGCGGGGGCCAGGATGGGGGGGCCAGGAAGGGGTCCCAGCGCGGGAGGGGAGGGCAGCGCGGCTCCCAGCCCTTCCGCCCGGCCCGGAAGGCCAGGGCAGGGGCGGACCCCCCGCCCCCTGAGCTCGCGAGGCTGCGGGCAGGAGGCCGCGACGTCTAGTACTTAGCGATGTCTCCCTTCTTCAGAATGACCTGTCGCTGCCAGGGCGCCAGCTTGGTCTCATCGTAGCCCAGTGTCCGCAGCTTTCTCCGACTGCTCTTTCTCACGCTGTATCTCCTCCTGCTTCTGTCGCTCCTCCTCTTTTCTGGGGATGGGGTGGGGGCAGACCCAGTGAAGTCTGGGCTGGCGGAAGTGGTGGGCCGGGTACCAGGACGCGGCTGGCCACCGGTGGCACGGAGCGGGTTACTGAGGGCAGAGGCTGGGTGGCTGAAGGCGGAGAGGCTTGACTGGGGGCAGACTGGGGTTACTGGGGCAACGGGAAACCGGCAGGTGGGAGGCTGAGGTTGGGTTATCGGGCGCTGGGGGTGTCCTGGAAACAGAGGTGCTGGGCCACCGTGTAAGCAGAGGTGTTACAGGGTGCAGGGGGCAAGAGGATTGGGGCCAGGCCTTGAGATGTTGAGAAGCTGTCAATCTGAACAATTGGAGACTGGGGTTGGGCTGCCGGGAAACAGAGGGACTGTTCATAATAATTGGGAGACTGGGGACTGGGACTTGAGGACAGCCTGTTAGAACCCAAGTGTCAATCTGCTGTTGACAGGGTGGTCGCCAAGCACGTGTGACGCTGAGCATTTGAAATGTGGTTGGTTCAAACTGGGATGCATTGCAAGTGTAAAATGCACATGGCATTTCGAAGACTTCATTTAAGAAAAAGACTGTTTAAAAAACCTCATTAGCCGGGCTCGGTGACTCAGCCTGTAATCCCGTGCCTTGGGAGGCTGAGGTGAGTGGATTGCCTGAGCCCACGGGTTCGAGACCCGCCTGGGCAACTTGGCGAGACCTCATCTCTACAATAAATAAAAAAAATTAGCCAGGTGTGGTAGCACGCCTGTTACTTGGAAGGCTGAGGCGGAAGGATTGCTGGAGCCCAGCAGGCCGAGGCTGCGGTGGCTGGGAGTGGCGGCCACTGCACTCCAGTCTGGGTGACAGAGTGAGACTCCGACTCAAACTCAAAACAAAACAAAACAAAAAAACCTCATTAATAGTTTTTATATGGATTCTGTAGTGAAATATTTTTGATATTTTGGGTTAAATGTAATATTAAATTAAGCTCACCTATATCTTCCACTTTTTCTTTTTTCTTTCTCTTCTTATTTTTGAGGAGACAGTCAGGGTCTCACTCTGTCACCCAGGCTGGAGTGCAGTGGCATGATAACGGCTCACTGCAGCCTTGACTTCCTAGGCTCAGGAGATCCTTATGCCTCAGCCTCCCATGGAGCTAGGGCTATAGGCTCACACCACCATGCCCAGCTGATTTTTTTAATTATTAGTTTTTTGAGTCTCACTCTGTCACCCAGGTTGGAGTGTAGTGGCATGCTCATGGCCACCACAGTCTTGACCTGCTGGGCTCGGGAGATCCTTCTGCCTCAGCCTTCCAAGTAGCTGGAACTACAGGAGTGTACCACCACGGCTGGCTAATTTTTTTTTTTTTTTAATTGTAGAGACGCGGTCTCACCAAGTTGCCCGGGCTGGTCTTGAACCAGTGGGCTTAGGCAATCCTCTCACTTCTGCCTCCCAAAGTGTTGAGATTACAGGTGTGAGGCACCACACCCGGCGATTTTGTTGTAGAGACAGGGTCTTGCTATGTTGCCTAGCCTGGTCTCGAACTCTTGGGCTCAAACAATCCTCCCACCTCAGCCTCCCAAAGTGCTGGGATTACAGAGGTGAGCTACCATGCCTGGCCTCTTTCTACTTTTTCAATGTGGTTACTAGAAGATTTTAAGTTACAAATGTGGCTCACGTTTTACTTCTATTGGACAGCAGTGGGTGAGATTACTAGCAGCAGACACTAGGTTTTGGGGGACAATCAAGGTGATTGATACTGGGGTCAGAAAGGCTTGGTTAGTATGGGGTGGGGACTGAGTAGTTTGGAAGCAAGATTATCAGAGCGTAGGAGCTAGACTTTAGGAGACAGGGACTAAATTCGTGGGGTTCAGGGTTCTGGTGGCATTACAGGGAGGAAAGAGGCTGTGCTGCCAGGGCTGAGAGCCAAGAAGATGCACTCAAGAGAGGGCTAGAGGAAGGGCTAGGTCAGGGTGGGGGTGGGGATGGCAGGTCGGGGCCAGCCCCACACTTACCGCTTCTGCTCCCTGGAAGAAAAAAGACAGTGTGAGTTGGTGCTTCCATCTCAGGGACAAGGTCAAGACACCCCACCAGGCCAGCCTCTGCCTGACCACCAGCTCACCTCTCCTCTTCTAGCTTCTTTCGCAGGATGTCCCGCCTCCAAGCAGGCATGCTGGCCAGCCGGGCCTCCTCCTCTTCCTCCTGAAACACAACCACAAAGCTTCAGGATCAGCAGGGGCTGGGAGGTAGGGGACTGGACAGGGAGCACCCCCAACCCGGGGGCCTGGAGGAGTCAGGGACAGGGGACACAGATGCCACAGGAAGAGATCCTTTCCATGTCCTTCTATGGGACGAGTGGGTGGAAGTGCCTGGTTACAGACCCCTCAGAGGGTGCCTCCTGCCCCCAAGTAAGCCAGGCACCCCTGTCCTAAAGGAGTTGCCAGAGAGATCAGAGCTGAGTGCAGGACTGGAGCTGAGAATCAGTGGGGGGCTCCAGAGGTCCTGGACTCGATTCCCCACAGGGAGATGGAGAGACGGCCCCAGGCCCGTGACACCTGGGCAGATGCAGACATGACCCCTCACACTCCCTGCCAGCTCAGTGAGGCTCAGGTTGCCCCTGGCCCCCTGTGAAGGACCTTCTGGCCTATTCTTGTCCTCTTCCCAGTGGAGTGGACACCAGGTCTGCAACTGTGGGATTGCAATGACATGGGTGGAGGGGTAATCCATCCCAGGCTCCCAGGCAGCTTATGGCAAAGGGTTTTATTTCTTGAATGTTACAGAGGAGAAAAGGTCTGTACACGTTACATAGCACACAGGACACCGCACACGTGGCTTCCTTGACCTCAGCCAAGGAGGTAGCTGTGAGCTCCAGTGAAAACCCAGAGGAAGCAAACCATCCTGCTGCAAAGGAGACGCGGGGTCCCTCCCTGGGAGGGGCCTCTTCTGCTGCCTGGCTCCACACAGAGCCCAGCAAGGCCATGGGGCCATCCGGTTTGCTGTGTGCCATGCCCCGCCTATCCTGGCCAAGGCCATATCTCGCCTCCACGGGACCACCAAGGCTGAGGCAGCCTGGTCATGAGCACTCTGGGCTGTTCAAGGCCACCCTTCTGGGGTTCCTCCTGCCACCCTCTTCTGGCCTCTGGAGGGCATCAGACGGGCATCCAGGCCCAGATTAAGATGCTTGAGGATCAATTTCGCATTCTGAGGCTCAGATGTCAAACAGCTCTGCCTCTTTCTCCTTCCAGAAGGAGAAGCTGCGGTCAATGTAGCGGCAGATGTCCTCGTTGCTGAACTCGCCCATCTCAGACACCAGCTCCAAGGGGTCTTCGGCGGGGGCTTCGGAACCAGGAGGGTCTGAAGGCGGGGGAGGCGCTGCGGGCGGGGGCTGCGGCGCAGGGGCCGGGGCTTCGGGCCGTCCCCCGGGCCGGTCCTCCGTGTGAGCTGATGCAGCCTCCTGGGCCGGTACCTCCTCCGGCTCCGGAACGTTCTCGTCCTCTTCTTTCTCAGCCTCTTCTTGGCGGGCGGGCTCGGCCTCCAGACTGTCCCCGAAAAACTGGCGCTTGAGGTCCTCGAAGCCGTCGCTCCAGCTGCGCCGGCCGGCCTCCACCTCCTCCCGCACCCCGCGGTGGAAG